TTTATTTATACAGAACGCTAAGTTATTGTCTCAGGTAGCAGTGGCCGCTGGTAAAGCCAATACTAACGTTGACTGCGTGCAGTCGTGCCCGAGAGTGTCTGACTGGGTGTGCTGTGTCAGAGTGTGAGAGGCGATGATGAAAGTTGCTTTTACATGATTGTTGAGCGAGTTCAAGTGGTTTGCTATTAGTTTTTTTGCATTGACTGATGGGGGTGTCGCGTGTAGAAGCCCCCTGCTGCGTGGCCGCGGGTTGGTGTGTTTCAGTGGCTCATAAGAAACCACGACTATTTGGGCACGCGTGTGTGCTAGTGAATGTCGGTCAAGCGTTTTAATGTCAGTGAGTCTGAGAACGCTCCCTGCGAAATGGCGTAACCTTGAGGCCATGGACGTTGAATAAGCAGTTGCGACAACATCGTTGGCCGTCCACCGCAACTTAGGTTCTCATTTTGCTTATCGTGAAATACAATCCTACGTTGTTTCAGTCGTGCCGACTGCGGTCTCGAGAAGGAGAAATGGGATTCGCTCTCACTGCAAGCCATCATTATCAGAATAACAGCGTTGCCAGAGTACTAGTTTCCAGTTGATGAAAAACGCTCAAAGATCCGGTTAGACCTCCTAAAGCCCCGTAGCTTGTACACAATGTACGTGAATCCTGTAAATTGGGAGGCTGTTCTCCAATTTTAAAGAAAGGAGTGTGCGCAGGACAAATAAAACTTATGCTGGATAGGCGTTTACAGAAGGGTTTCCTATCGCATGAAATGTCAGCCAAAGTTCCGAAGTACGTTTTTAATTAAAAACATACTTGACTAGTGTTGTAAAGGTGATTTTGTGCAAAATAATCTTGGGATATTTCAGTCGCTTCAGGATGCCGGCTTTTGAATGATTTTTTTTCTGATCGTCTTCAAAAAGCATACCATGCAAAAAATGGCTACATAGGAGGATGCATATTTCTCATCGTATTTCGATGTCCTTATAACTTCAAATGTATTTGTTAAAAAAGATGGCTTTTACTTTCAATGGGGATTGCTCTCTTCCTTCTGTATTGCTATCTCCCGAAATGTTAATTAAAATTCTGAAATATTTGGATTTCGATTCTTTTTGTAACAACGCAATCCCGAGTTACTTCAGTGACGTTGTCGCGTTAAAAATGTTTTTTTACGTGCCAGAAACACCAATTGAACGAGGGCCCATTCATGTTTGAGGTGACATCCAACTTGCTTGAAAATAGAACTTTAATTCGGTTGGCTAGGCGCATAGTTCATGAGGTGTGCCGTGCGACGGCGTGCTCTGTTTAGTTCCAGTAATGCATGACATGCAAGATAAACTCCTACAGTAAGACGGTGTCGAACCGAGTTTAGTTCAGTCGCGTAAAGCGTTTCAAGAGCAGACTTCTCATACGGTATACGTAATCAAATTTCTACCAAAATCCTGTCATTCGTTTTCGATTTGAACACACTAAATACATATGTTTGTAGTTATGGTAATCGTAAAGCCTAATCTCAATATATCTCAGACATTTTAGGATGCCGGCTTTTGAAGGAGTTTCATTCTGACTACCTACCAGAATATATTCCCTAAAATGTGGCTACTTGAGTAGTACGTTTTTGTCCGTTGATTTTCAATGCCGTTATGAATTTGAGTATACTTGTTTAGAAAACGTGCATTAAAATATTATTTCTTTAATAGCAGATTACATCGTCAACTTTTATACTTGAAGAAAGAGTATTTTACTATGATATTTTTTATTACCCTGTAGATTTCATTCCAGAAGCCTCTTATTTGTCCATTTACTAATGTTGCTAGTAAGGATCGAATCAATTACGACCCCCAGCGGTGATAGTGAAAGCCGTTATTTAGAGTACCCTATACTAATATAATATACAAGTACTGAACTTCATGTGCCTCCATTAGCCTTATCTGCGGCTATCTGTGATGATAGGCTCGAGTAAGCATCTGCAACGTCAGACCAATAAACATACTGCCGCACCGCTCGCATTTTCTTCTAAACTGTTTTCTGGAACCCGCGTTCTCGCTTTTGTCGTTAAAGAAGTTTTGGCCTTCGATGCAGTGACTCCCTGAATAACTTTCTATCTAGGTAAAGCAATTCTAATCCAGAAGAAGACTGCATATTACTGAAATATTAACTTTCTGCGGTTAAGCTTACGGGTGGTTGGACATTCTTAGTCGAAAATCAGCATACTGAGTTGTAGTACAGATTAGGAAATAACCTCCCCTCATATGTGTATACTGTTAGAAGTTAAGATCCGTAGGTGTGGAATATTCGCGGATCTTAGTTTTGTTAAAGACCTTTTCTTAGAGGGTTATTCGTCTTCTGAAATTACTTCATATTCCCCTTCTTCACACTTCTACGAGGAGACACTGTAGTGCTTCTGACATATAAGAATATATCTGGAAAGCTTAATTCTCAAGACTGGGGTTGTTATGGGGGCGTTCACTGGTCTGTTTTTGGATCATGCTCGTTCCATTTTGCCTTGGAGCCCAATCTAGAACTCTCGCAGGTAGTGGGGCGATGGTAGAGTCTTGCACTCAAGGGCTAAATATCGCGGGTTCATATCTCGGGAGTGGCCATCCCCTAGTCCTGGGTATGACTGACTGATGATGGCTAATAAGCCAGGAATAGCCATTTTGATCTTCCTTGTCCTTGCAAATTGCACCTCATCAAGTCTGGGCTTATTAAACCCAAGGATCTCGATTTTCAAAACCACTGCGTGCGTCATAAAGATCTGAACTTTGAAGATACACAGTGTTTAGGTGGTGGCTTTCAGTGAGTTAAACTGATACAGATTGCTGGGATGAAGTCCAGTGAGGCAGTGTGTACCCTAAAGGTCATTTTCTATCGCATTTTAACAATATCAACTTTTAGAAGTGTATTCTCGCTTATTATCCCTTTTAACTGACACACAAATATGTAGTTCTGAACACTGATCAGTCCAACTTTGTGTGCGTTCGTGCTCTTTAGGTGGTTATTATTGACAGCCGACCCAGTCAAGTGGCACCAGAAAGTTCGAGCACTGCCTGTCATTGGTACCGGCCTGATGCCTCCAAGACCCCTATCTACCTGGAATTCCGTAATGCTCCTGTTTGGCCTTCACAAAAGTCGACAGCCGGCACCAGACTACCAAATCGTGGTGAGCTGATCAATTACGCAGTCGAGCACTACGCCCGCGGTTCCGTTCTAGTCTTCCTTGAACCCGGTAGGCATCCTCGGCTAGCGTAATATTCGCCTGAGTGAAAAATGCTACTATGTTTTGAGTAACTCTGTTTGACTGACTTTATTTAATTTAGGTGTTCACGTCCCCTTCGAGTGGGATACTGCTGTCTTCCAGTGCTTAGAGCAGCCTGGCGTGGGAATGAGCAGTTTCGCCTATCGTCTTGTCCTCAGAAACAAGTATATGCAAAGAAAACACATTGGCTGGGCGGTTCGTTGTCACCTGGCCAATTGGCTGGTCAATCGACAGGCAACTCGGTAAGTACTTCTTTTAACACTGGTACGGAAGTTTAAGTTGCCAAAACTTATAGATTTTTTTAAGATATGCACTCAACTGAAATAAAAATAGTTTGCTTTCTCAGTGACTAATACACATGAACTTCGTAAACAGCCTTTAAGTTTCGGTGTGCCTTTAGCTTAGGCTGCCCTATTTGAGTCAACTATATCATTTGACTGAGTCACGAAGAAACAAAACGGAAAATCCAAATCAGAACCGACAAATTCTTCAAACACGCAGGTGCTTTTAACGTTGTTTTATGCTTTTAAAGGCGCTCAAATGAGCTAGCTCAAAACTTACCCCTTGGCGTCCCATGATAAGTTAAAAAAATAGCATTCGTGATTAAAGTTGCTTACGGTTTGGCATGAAATGCATGTAACATACCGACAATTGCGAAATATTGAATATCGCTCGCAAAACGGCATTAGCGCACGTACGAGAACTCTAAGGTAATAGTGAAAAACCCAAGGCAAATTTGTGACTTAAGAGAAATATACACATGTGTTTATTGTTTGTTTAGAAACATCATAAATGTGAAAAACTTGTATACATTAGACCGATCAATTTAAATACGATCGCCAGGTGAACTCGTAAATATACCATTTTCTTTATATTAAAATAACTTTTCTCTCGTTAAATGTAATAAGATGCATATATATTTCAGCAACTGACCTACAATAATTTACAGATCGTCCTCTAAATTCCGGGAAATTTTCCACAATTTTCGGTGTTTTGGAGCTTTCTTCTATAAATTTAGATCCTTTTTGGCATTTATACGAAAACGTTTAAAATAGGATATTGCGTAAAAGCATTTACCAAAAACGTGACCTTTTGGATATTAGTCTTTATGGTGGCAAACTGTGCCATATTTATAAATACTTCGAAAAACCAAATCATATTGTCGAGCACAAGGGAAGTCAAAAACGGAAGTTTGATATTAGTACGCTTAAGATCAATTAAATATCTGTCTATAATAGGCTACCTTTTAGATAATACTTTAGTTAGATATTCAGATGACGAATATATGTGCATGTCATCATTTTCCCAGGTGACGCTTAAGTGCAAATTGGGAATTTAGACCAGTTTTTTCAATTATCTGAATGTTATTGACCCAATTCTGGCTGTAAATGAAAGAATTTTCTATTATCTTAAGATTGGAAAATTTTTCGCCATACTTACTTACCTTTAGGCCTCGTTCTAAGATTGCAAATACAAAAATTTTTTGAGAAGAATAAGAATTATCGAACACTGGAATTATTGTTTTAATAGCCTGAGCTTTCGAGCCCCTGCAGGAGCCCATCATCAGAGTAGGGAATAGTAGCAAATGAGGTAGCTAGTTCTGGTGTGTGCACAAAACAGCTAAAATTCAAACGGGTAGAAAAATCAATAATTGTGTGGTTTGACCGTCGTCTCGCTAGTGGGCGAGATCGGCTGCTTTTCCCTATTCTGATGACGGTGTTCTGTATCAAGTTACCCCCGAATGCTGTTATACCCCCCCCCCTTACTGCT